TTAGCATAATTTCTAGAAGGTGTTCTGGATACTATGCTCAAAACTATCATATAGGGCTCACATGTACCAGTGCTCCTTTTAAGTCACTGTGTGGATTCCAGTGGAAATGGCATGAAGGCAGTCAGTTTTTGGCAAAAATACTGTGAAGTCGAAGCACTTTTTTTTTAGTATATGGGCACTCAAACCAGTCTGATCTCATGCCCATGGCCCCAAAGAAAAGAAAGCAAGCCCATGATTTTCAAGAGGCAAGAAAATAATATTGAGCAAAAACTGAAATTAATAATAGTAATAGAATTAAATAAAGCAGTTTCCTATGGTAACATATCAAAAAACTCTTCCCTATGTATTATCTATATTTACTTGCAATTATCTCAAAAAAATGAGTAGTGTTAGGTCATTCTTCATGCTGTGTCATCCTTTGACTTAGTTTATTTGTAACACATAAAAAAAGGAAATTTGAACTACACATAACTTATATTTTTAATTTCAATGATTATTTGTATTACAAGAACTAACCTACATCCCACTTAACAATATGCCTATAACCTTGCATTGGGGTAAAATATAGAAAAGTATTTTCTATTGAGTTTAATTCCCCACATTAAAACTTACTTTATTAAAATGGTCATAATACTGAAAAACCTTTGACAACATTAATTGTATTTGTAAAAGGATACATATAAAATTTACAATGACTGAGCTACTTAAATTATAACAAATATATAGTTCGAGGTCTCATTGGAGAAAAGAAATGAGAGTATCCCAAATATTGAATATAAACACTGGCATTTGGAAATATAATTCTATCATAAACATCAGCAAGATCTTTGACTATAATTTCCTAAGTATAAGGAAAAATTAGTAATTTCGTAACCACTGCATTTAATGTCATGTAAATTGAATGTATTTTAATTTGCATATTTACAATAAAGTCAAAGTAATTCAAAGACTCAATGTGACCTGAAAAAATATCTTTAGAATAATTATATTCCTTACACATGAACCTCCTACTTTTCTTCTGTAGACAGGAAGGTGAAACAGTATTAATCGAGTGTCACAGAGTGGAGCTAAACCTCTCTCTGCAATCTACAAAAAGGTTGGAAACAACCTGGTCTGCCTTCTGCTCAGGAGTTGCAGTCATCAGAATTCTGAGAGGCAACGACCATTGCTACAAATGAGGGGGTGGTAAAGTGACCCCTTTTTCCTCTGGCTGACCATAAGAGCACGTCATTTCTATACATCAGTCATCCAGAATCAAAGTGACAACAGGGCCAGCCCGTGGCTCACTCGGGAGAGTGTGGTGCTGATAACACCAAGGCCACAGGTTCGGATCCTATATAGGGATGGCCGGTTCGCTCACTGGCTGAGGGTGGTGCTGACAACACCAAGCCAAGGGTTGAGACCCACTTACCGGTCATCTTAAAAAAAAAAAATTAAAAAACAAAACAAAACAAAAAAACCCAAAGTGACAACAAACTCCAAACTTTCTATTTCAAAACTACAAACATAAGCCAC